AGTCGAAAATATATATATCAAGAGCAGTCGGTTAACTGTTTACTCCGTCTCACATTAGTCACACTTTACGCAAATTATGTAGAAACGCTTTGCAGCGACCCGAGCCGTTTGGAAAAATTACTTGATCGATTTCTCCGCTCTCGTTCACAACAGTTATAAACATTAATACCGAAATACGATACATGTTCTACATTTAAGTAAATCAATGTAGAATATTTTTAACATTTAATTTACCTAAAAAGCATACACTTTTCAGCGTCGACTTTATGTATTTTTTATAGAATAAGGATGACAAACGAGCACACAGTCCACCTGATGGTAAGTGGATGCTGTGGCTCAGACATCTACATCTATCCCCGAGTAAGAATCAAAATGCAAACGCGTTGTCGCCCCTGAGGACTAAGATGGAATGCCTCGTTTACAGTGAAAAGGGTCTCCGGTTCCCCACACTCACCATACGAAACACAGGAGTATTGAACTGCTATTTTAAGCTGGTGTTCTGTGAAAGCGTGGTCCAACCCCGGTCGATCCGACCCATTTATGCAACAAACATATCGTAGTAAAGGATTACACAATTACCCCTTTTATATGTCACCAGGTCCCACCTCTCGGATTATACATCTCTAAATTACACGTTTGTAAAATATATTAAATAGATAGTTACTTTCATTGCATTAGTTATGACAAAATCGATATTTTATGATAACAAAGATTAATATCATAAAGCCAAATCGTGTAATGGTGTAGATATATATTTTAGAATAAAGTGTATACATATAAGTATTATAATTTGAAATAAAGAGTTTTTATTAGAATGCAGGAATGAAGATGATGAATGCATAAAGTAAATGGGGCTCTACACTCTATTGTGAAAAGTCAGAATGTGTCAAAAAAGGCACGTATGGCAATTCACAGTGCTGTATTAGTCCCTACTTTAACGTATGGTAGTGAAAGTTGGGTGTGGCAGAAGAAGCATGTGAGTAGAATAAATGCAGTAGAAATGCGGTCGCTAAGGAGTATGTTAGGGCTGAATCTGAGTTACAGGGTGAGAAACTGTGTGATAAAAGAAGAGTGTGGTTTGCAAGATGATGCGGTGACCAGGATTAAGAAAGGAATGCTTCGGTGGTTTGGTCATGTAGAAAGAATGAATGCGGAAAGATTGACAAAGCAAATATATGTTGCAGAAGTGAATGGAAGAGTCGGAAAGGGACGTCCTAGGCGGAAGTTTGTCGACCAAATTGGCGATATACTAAAAATGGGTATCCAAATTAAGAGTACCCTTAACCGACGAGCATGTATGCGTAGCTATATGGATGTGGAAGAGGCGAGAAAGGTATGTCAGGATCGTGCTAAATGGAAGTCTGTAGTCTCTGCCTACCCCTCTGGGTGACAGGCGTGAGTGTTTATGTTTATGTTATGTTTTATGTGTAGAATGCAGGCTTACAAATACATATTCCCCAACTTCAAAAACCAACAATATACATATACGTACTGAAATTAACTTTTTTTAAAACATTGTATTAAATCTATAGGAATATGAACTCAAATTCTAGCCGGGTGAACGGAAATTTGTTTTTACACAGTTGCATACTGATCGCATAACGGGAAGTTGACACCTTGTACGAAGCCGGCCCGAAGGACAACACACACACTGTTACACCAACACATGAATGAATTACTATCACTTCGATTGAAGCGACCGAAAGCGTAAAATAGCAGCTTAATGCCGCTGTGTTTCATATGGTGAGTGTAGAGAACCGGATACTCCTTTTTATTGGAAACGATGCATTCCATCTTAGTCCCCAGGGGTGATAACGCATCTGCATTTTGATTCTTAATCGAGGATATATATGTCCATGGTCCACAGCATCCACTTACCGTCAAGTGGAATGTGTGCGCGATTGTCACTCTAATTCCGTAAAAAAAATCGTGTTACGTTACTCCATTAAATTTTATCGTATTTTAATAATAGGCAATGTGGCTGATTTTACAAATAAAACAAAGTATCATTATCTAAGTGGATATAGGAAGTCGACGCTTTGTTTATAACACGAAGATCCTTTTAAGACTTCATTTGCTTGCAAATTTATTCAAAAACAATTACAATAGACAAGCAACATCAGATAAAGTATACATAGATAGACCCTTTTTGCTTTATTATGTTAAGCGTGTGTCACAGCCTATTGTAATTTGTTGTTATTGTAAATGACTTGTAAATAAACTACATAAAAAGTTAGTAAAGTATGTGTAATCGAAATAAAACTAAACAAAAAACCTCATAGTTTGCAGGTCTATATTTCAATGTCGGATCATCCATGACTTTTTCTGCCGCTAGAGCGGTGGCACTTAACATAGGAATGAGGTGAAATATTTGGAACAATTCATAGTGGGGGAAGTTATATTGTAAGAAAAATTTAGGGATAATAATGTTATGTTGTTAGAAAAATTTAAGGATAATAATGTTATATTGTTTGAAAAAATTAGGAATAATAATATTACATTGTTAGAAAATTTTAGGGATAAAAATTTAGGGATAATTAGGTTAGAAATGGATAAATCAAACTATTGACATTCCTGAGCAGAAGAATAAAAAAGGTAAGATAGTGTAATAAATTAATTAATATAGCACGGGTTTGTGTATAAATACAACAACAAACTTTTAATTAAAATGCAACTTTTCAATGACGATGACTTTGTAACCGTCTTCGTTCACCATAGTCCAAACTAACGACATCTAGTGAGCGTAATACCTACTAATACTATTAGCCCCCATTAAGACAAATTTGTTAATACATTTCAAAATATTGTACTGTAAAGCTATCCCCAAAAGTTTATTATTGTTAAGGGGAAATATAACCTCAAATGGCTTAGCAAGATCCTCCGTTATGCCGAAAGTATTGCAGCATTAATTTTGAAATAAATATATGGTAAAGTTGAGGATTAATGTTAAGGACTATGTTATACGAAAACACGATTCCGTAAAATTTTTTCGATTGAAAAAAAATCCAAATTTACCTCCAAACTGAACAATAAACCGCTGTTATTCATAAAATACTTTAAATAAGATCATAAAATTTTGCATGCTAACTGAACTAACTATAAAGCAGTGCTTATGTTATTTACTTTTTTTAAAATACCATTATTTTCACTGTAAAAAGAAATTACCTAAACTATCGGCGTCTTCAAGCTCGATTCCTGTCGCTCCGTTAGTATCGCTTAGAATCGCATTTAGCTTTTGAAGGTAGAAGTTGTATCGCTTACGATCAGAATACACATTATGCAACAGGACGGCGTAAAATTAAAATGGGAAATAACCTTGATAAAAATAATAAGCGACTGGGTTGGCGTTAAGAAACAGGCATAAATATGATAAACCTAATGAAATAAGTATCTAACGACCTATCTACTTACAGTATTAGTGATTACAAACATGTCTGTACATAGCATACGACGCGCGTGGAAGTGAGGGCAAAATTGGAATTTGAGCTGACTTACTATCTCCCCTTAATACCAGGGAACACCTAATATAGCGCAATTAGGTGTTCTGTGGTTAATACGTATATAAGCTTTGACAATGTCCGTAATACCATGAGGTTATTTTTATAAATAATTCATAAACTCAAAACCTTTTACTTGTAAGTAAAACCGGTGTCAAACCGGTGTTATTTATTGTAATACGAATATTGGATTTATTTTTATATACTAAATAAGGGTGACGAGCGAGCGCACAGTCCACTCATTATTATTGAATGCAGTGGCCCATAGATATCTACATCTATTCTCAAATAAAATTAAAATGCAAATGAGTTGTCACTCTGAGAACAAAGATGGAATGCCTCGTTTACAGTTAAAATGGTCCCCGATTCTCTACAGTCTACACTCACCATACGAAACACGGCACTATCCTGCCGTTTAACGCTGTTCTTGTGAGAGCGTTCTAACACGTAAACATTATTTTAACATTATTTTAAATGAAGTATAGACTTTCTTTACTTACATACTTTTTTTTAAATAAAAACTATTTACATTTTTGTCGACCTACTATAACAATACTTTGGTGATAAAAAACACCTCTATCAATCGCCTAACTACTTGCTCTGGTCAGAAGTGCAGCTAGTCGAGGCATTAAGTGCGCATGACAAACGTGGTAGTGGCGGAGTAAGATTATCCATTTCCCCATAACGTCCCGTGAGCGATGTAAACAAACCAGGTGATGGGGAACATCGCTTTCCAAAATATCAGTATCACTGCGACCTAGAAGATCTATTGCGATTGCTGCTATGGCTATAGGTCACGGCTAAGCCCTCAAGTAAGTCAAGCGTGGTAAGAATGAAATATGTCCGCTTCATGATGTAGTCTATGGGTAAGGCCTTATATTCAGCAGTGGAATTAGATAGGTTTTAACAGACTTTAATGAAGGAAGAGCTTCTCAGTTCAGATGTATGTTATGAGTAGTATTTTTGACGAGGTATAGACATGCTGCAGCTATATTATGGTCAGCTCGACCGGGAAAGAACCACGCTCATAGAATTCCAGCGAGAAATATCAACTCAGTGCTGCTGTTCCATATTGTGAGTGTAGAGAACCGGAGACCCTTTTTTTAAAACGAGGCATTTCCATCTTAGTCCTCAGGGTTGACAATGAATTTTGAAACACAATAACATTTTGATTTGTAATCGAGGATAGATGTAGTCTTTGGGCCACAGCCTACACTTAAGTCAGGTGTACTGTGTGCTCGTTTGTGATACTTGATCTATAAATAACATAAGTGGCCGGATTTTGGTTTTTTTTACGTGGACCGTGCTCAAGGTCATATTTTGAATGAGCTTATAAGCGTGCACGGTCGCGCGGTTCGTGTGCGCGTGCGCGTACGATATGTGTGTGTGTGTGTGTGTGTGCGTGTGCGTGTGTGTGTGTGTGTGTGTGCGTGCGCGTGTGTGTGTGTGTGTGTGTGTGTGTGTGCGTGTGTGTGTATCTATGTAGGAGTATGGAGTACTCACGGACGGTGAAGTTGCGCGAGGCGTACGCGGCGCTCTCCTTGTCGTGTAGCAGCGTAAAGGCGTGCAGCTGGTAGGTGGCACCTGGGGCCAGGTCTCGCACCACGTAGCTGCCGTTGCCCCCTTCCACCGTGATATTGCGAGCGCCCTCACGGGCCTCAGTCAGCGGGATCACCTGCCGCCAAGCGTATGTCGTCAACGCACTCAAAGACTTCTCTATATTACAAAGACTTATACGTAAACTACAAAGACGAGTATAATAATATTGCGCACCATAATTAATTAACGGTTCATGGCGAGTTATCACTAGCGCCATCTAGTATCGAGTAGCAGAACTCAAGTCAAGATCTTTCTAGAAATTTCCATGCTAGAACTTTCTACACCTAGTCAGTCGTGACCAGTATGAATACTCGAACATTCTAGATGTTTCAGTAGAAGAGGCCTATATAAGGCCTGTATGAAACGCGACCGTGAGTATTGAATTGGAGATTCCAACGAATACTTCGAAGCGATTCGGACTAAAGTGATCAGTAGTACTGTGTTTTATTATTAATGTGTTTTAAGTTGTAATTGGGGTTCGGTAATTAAATTGTCACTTTTGGTGATTCAATTGGCATTTTTTATTTTCACGAACCCCAAGCTCGTAACAATACAAATACTTCTATGTATTCTACTTGACCGTCAATTTATACAAAGTACTGTGTCACAGCCGTGGATCACGAGGGCGAGTAGCTGTCACGATAAATATGCCACACAGTTGTATTTTCATTCACGACGGTTACTCTTTTTAAATAATATATATAGAAAATAATATATAGAAAATACTTCGAATGAACGATAATGAACATCAAATCAAGTTGACAAAGTGCGCACATAAATAATGACAGTTTTCTTAGTCATATCAAATAAAATCAAGTGTTCCATGGTCGGGTACAACGTTCACGGTTTAAACAAAGAGAATTGACGGTAACTTAGTGAGCAATGTATTAAGGCCACAGAGCCTAAATAGTAGTATACATAGAAGTCTTTGTTTTACGCTGCTTAGTGCTTAGGTTAGGTGTAGGTCGCCTTTAAATGGTATTTAATACTCTAACCTTACAGTGAAAACATTTGAATCTCATCAATAAGAACACTTCTTTTATCGTTATGAAGTTCAGGTACGAAAAAGATTGTTCGTGCGATTTGTTGAAACGTAAGGCGCGGTTTACATTTTGAGAAATGACAAGTGCGAGTAGCAAGTGCAACTGACAAATGACGAGTGCTTAGTGCGTGTGAACAGGCAGTGATAAGCGATAAGTGGGAATAAAATGCGAACTTGTTGTCACTTCTCAAAATGTAAACCGGGCCTTAGGGAAAAACACCAAATGGAAGTTTTTTCTGCTGATAATACTGTTCTAGGTGTTATATTGATTTCCTTCTGCACGCCAAGTGAGAATGCACTACGCTATGGACCCTGTACGGGAATTTAACCAGCGAAAGGGGAAAGAGGCTATGGCTCGAATTGGACGGATTTTCGAATAATGGTCTACTATAAGACCATACTCTGCGTCTATTCTAAACCATATCACGTTACACAAATTTTGACGTGAAGTTTGACCTTTAACTCCATTGAATACCAGTTGTTACAGTCAACAATAATAAAAACATTGTATTGTGTGTGCCCTTCACTTTAATTATCCATTGTCATTGTCAATCATCTTTGTACAGCTAATGCCGCGTTTCTATATTTGAAAAATTTCCTTTTACGAGAACGGGAAGTATCTTGAATATAAGAACCGGGATAAGCGTATCACTTACATAACAAATTTAAATCATAAGAATACAACAGGTTTTATTTAGTATCGTGTATCGCAATGTCTTAGCGTAACAAAAGTCTATTCACTCTCGTCTTGAAGACGCGCAGATTGTGTTCGAACGGAAAGATAAACGCTGACAAATTATTCCACTCCTTTGCTGTACGCATTACAAAAGAAGAAGCAAACCGTTTCGTTCTAATGCGTGGAATATCGACAAGAAAAGGGTGAAACCTCGCCGACCGTCTGGTTCTTCGACGGTGGAAAGGAGAGGGAGGAAATAAAGCCTGTAATTCCTGCGCACACTCACCGAAATGCATCCTACAGAAAACTGAAAGGCTGGCTACTCAGCGCCTGTTCTCGAGGCTGACCATATTAATAGTGAAATATTACAGCTGTAACGCATACCTTAAACCGAAAGCCGGTGTAGTCTCCGTGCGCGGGCGGGGACCAAGTGATGATTGTCTTCTTGTTGCGACCCTGCGTCACGTTCAGATTCGTTGGTGGCTCCGGTGCTAGTACATAAAACATTGCAAGTTATTAGTCAAAAGTTAATACGTTAACAGCTGTGTTTTTTTTTAAACTTGTAAAGAATATTCGCTATTATTCAGTATTATTCGGCCTATTCGGCTACTTTTATCTTATTTGGTCAGTGGTAAGTGACAAAACCATTATAAAGCCCTGCTCAGATAGACGGATAATCTATTAGCCCACTAGGCTTCATTAAGGTTAACCTGATGAACCCTCATTTTTTATAGAGTAAGGGTGACAAACGAGCACACAATCCTCCTGATGGTAAATAGATGCTGTGGCCATAATATATCTACATAATATATTCTCCTGCAAATTCAGATGCGTTTTCACCGCTGAGGACTGACATGGAATGCTTCGTTTCCAGTAAAAAGATTACAGTTATCTACACTCACAATACGAGAAACGCACATAGTCGAGTAAATTTGAATAATGTGTGTGCGAAAACAAAATCATCGTACTCCTTATCTACCATACAATCATATGGCTTATTGCGATTTTCTTAATAGTTACATAAACATAAACACTCACGCCTGTCACCCAGAGGGGTAGGCAGAGACTACAGACTTCCATTTGGCACGATCCTGACACACCTCTCTCGCCTCCTTCACATCCATATACCTACGCATACATGCTCGTCGGTTAAGGGTACTCCTAATTTGGCCCGTTTTCAATAAATCGCCAATTTGGTAGATAAAATTTCGCCTAGGATGTCCCTTTCCGACTCTGCCATTTGCTTCTGCAACATAAATTTTCTTTGTCACCCTTTCCTCGTTCATTCTTTCCACATGACCAAACCACCGAAGCATTTCTTTCTTAATCCTGGTTACAACATCAACTTGCAAACCACACTCTTCTCTTATCACACAATTTCTCACCCTGTCATTCAGATTCAGCCCTAACATACTCCTTAACGACCGCATTTCTACTGCGTTCATTCTACTTTCGAGCTTCTTCTGCCACACCCAACTTTCACTACCATACGTTAAAGTAGGGACCAACACAGCATTGTGAATTACCATACGTGTCTTTTTCGACACATTTTGACTCTTCACAATAGAGTGCAGGGCCCCATTTACTCTAATTCCCGCATTCACTCGATACACGACACACAGGAGTCGTTCTATATCCTTATCATATCTCCCATCCCTGCTAAATACGCAACCCAAATATACAAACTCATCTACTTACTCGATCAACTCCCCTTCTATTCTTATTTCACAAATCGTTTTACTTTCTTCTCTTTCAAAAACCATAACCTTAGTCTTACTTGCGTTCACTTTCATACCCCTTTCTTTAAATGATCTGTTCATTAATGTAACCATCATTTGCAACTCGGCCGCCGACGACGCAAGAATAACTTGATCATCGGCGTACAAAAGGCATTTGACGGTTAACTCACCCATTTTTAACCCGCATTCTTCAACTTTCAGATTTTGCAAACAACTGTCCATAAATAGGTTGAACAGCCACGGGGAAGCCACACAGCCCTGTCTTACACCTTTATGGATGTCAAACCAGTCCGATTAGACCCCGTTGATCCTAACACAAGCACTAGAGTCCCTATAAAGAGACTCCAATGCCTGTATCAAGCCAGCGCTCAACCCAAATGAGTTCAGTCTTTGCCATAGCACATCCCTATCCACTCTGTCATAGGCCTTTTCCAAGTCCATGAACGCACAAAAAACCTTTTCGTTTTTGGCCAAAAACTTCTCCGCCATCATGCGCATGGAAAAGACTTGATCTGTACATCTCATTCCCTTTCTAAATCCCGCTTGCACATCCCAAATTTTTCCATCAGTTTCTTTCATGATCCTTTTAATCAGTACCTTAGCATACAGTTTTCCCACAATGCTAAGAAGGCTGATGCCACGGTAGTTTTTACAGTCCTGCTGCGACCCTTTTCCTTTATATACTGGGACTATCACGGCTTTGCACCAGTCTACCGGTACCCGCTTCAGTTCCCAGCATAAATTAAACAAGGTGTGCAGCAGGCCTGCCACCACTTCCTCTCCAGCCCTTAGCATTTCGAGTGAAACTATCATATACGGCAGCCTTACCGTTTTCATGCTTTTCATTGCTTTCATTATTTTATCTATATTTATCTCGCTACCTCTTTCCTCTTCTTTCGGAGTTTCTACTTCATTTAGTTCACACGTTGTCTCCTCACTCATAAACACGCTTTCAAAATATTCCTTCCATCTCTTTAAACTCAAAACTTCATCATTCAGAATATAGTCATTCTCGTCTCTTATAGCATTCAATATAGGCTGTTTCGAATGTCCCCTGGTAGTTCTTACAAGTTTCCAGAACATTTTAATATTTGCCCGGAAGTTATCCGATATTCTTCGATCATTCTTATCCGTTCTTTCTGGCTTTTTCCTTTCAACTACTTCTTTTACTCTCTTATTTAGATGTCTAAAAACTGCCTTTTCTCTTTCAATATCATCATTCGTACCGCTATAATTACCAGCCTTTGTTGCTAGTAAATCTAACCATGTTCTCTTCTTTGCTTCAACTTCCATACGTTGTACATCATCCCACCATAACGTTTTATTTTTCTTTTCATTCTTTCTCTTACTAACACCACATACTTCGGTAGCTGCATCCACTAAACCTTTCTTAACATTTTGCCATACATTCTCCAAGTCTAACTCCTTCATACATAATTCATCCAAACCACTTATATTTTCTTTTAGTCTACATTTGAACTTGTTTTTCTCACCTTCATCTTGTAACCTTTCTGTTCTCATACGCTGTAACGCAGTAATAATTAAAATTAATAGTTAAGTTTATTTTTATTTAAAACTGAATGTGGCAAGTCGCAATGTGCCTAAAGTAGACCAGATTGTTGCAGTAACAGACCAAACATTGTGCCAATAGTAAACCAGTAAACAAAACGAATGATTTTAATTTTTTTATAGTATTGGGTGACAAACGAGCACACAGTCCACCGGTTGGGTGGTCCATAGATATCCACATTTATCCTCAATTAAGAATCAAAATGCAAATGCGTTGTCACCCCTGAGGACTAAGATGGAATGCCTCGATTCCAGTAAAAAGGGTCTCCGGTTCTCTACACTCACCATACGAAACACAGCAGCATTACGCTACTATTTTACGCTGGTATTCTGTGAGAGCGTGGTCCTGCCCCAGTTGAGCCGCCCCATTAGTGCTTCAACTATAGTATAGCTGCAGGGTTGTAGCGTAGCTCTACCATGAACATAATGAAGAATAATTTTATTATTAATACTAATGAGCTTAATTTAATTTTATAATCAGTAATCATCACAACTTTAAATCATAGATGTAATGCTCATAATATTGTTTTGTTTTTCAGTTTCATTTTATTTATGATAGTTGTAAAAAGTATATTATATTTTATGCATGTTTCTCTAACTTTTGAGCCTTTATTTATCTCGTCTATCGCTTTTATGACACCTTATATATGAAATAAAAGTTCTTTTCAGTGGCATTACGTCTGTAGAAAAAGTGTAAATGGTCAATTACTGTAACAAACTCGTAGTGTAGATATTACCAGTAATAAACCACTGTTCAACCACTGGAACATTGTGAATTTTTGAAGAATTTACTATAAAAATTTATTGAAGTATCTAAGTGAATATAAATGTAGTTGTTGACCAAATGGAATATTGCTGGAAATCATATAATTTGTGTTCAATTGTTTACCAATGACAACTATTGATATAGTTAGCATTTTCTGATGAAATAAGACGTAATATTGTAATAAAATGGCCGTCCGGAAATAAGTGAATATTGAAGAATTGTCCTTTTCGATTATGTGTTTTACCGATGTACATGGCGCGTATATAGCTTTTAGTTATGATTACATGATTGATGATGAAGAAGTACGGCAAGGCTACCAAATGTACAAAAAATGTTGAGTAATTCAAAAGAAGATTAACATTTAAGTTTGGAGATTGAAATGGTCTACTATTGGTTCCTGGAGTGGTACTGGCGCACCCTATTTAGTTTTTGTGTAGAAAACCGGAGACATTGGTATCCGAATTAAAATGGCACGCAGACACGTCAATAGAACCGTTTTAATATAGTGTAGAGAATCTGAAGCTCTTTTTACTGGAAACGAGGCATTTTGTCTTAGTCCTCAGGGGTGACAACGCTTCTGCTTTTTGAATCTTAATCGAGAATAAATCTAGATGTTTGTGGGCCACGTTATCTACTGACCATCAGGTTGAATTTCTACAAGGCAAAACCTAATTACTGATGTAGGAGACTTGAACAAATACGTGATAACTGACCGGTGACGATGGTCTGGTTCCAAGTGAGCAGGTCAGCGAAGGTGGCGTTGGAGTAGTAGAGCATGAAGTGGTACTTGGTGCCGGGCAGGCCCTGGAAGTTGATGGTGGAGGCGCGCGCGGGCACGGTGAAGTTGGGCGCGGGCGAGCCGTGCGGCGGCGAGTAGTCCAGCCGGTAGCGTGCGCCCGCCGCGTCCGCGCCCGCGCCCGACGCCGGGATCTCGATCACCAGGTCTGCGCCATAGGCGCCACCACTCTGGTACCACCACAAACATAACATTATAATCACATTGTTTCCAAGTCAAAAAATTAACATAATAATTTTTTTTTTAAATTAAACTCCCGAAACAAAGGAGTCCATAACCTTCAAACGGCTGAACAAATTTTTGAAACATACCTAAGAAAAATTGATTGAGACACCTTTCAAATGAAAAAAAATACTTAATCAAAATCGGTTATCCGTTCAGGAGCTATGATGCCACAAACAGACACACAGGTACACAGCAGACAAACACACAGATAAACACTACAAACTTATAACACCCCTCTGTTTTCGTCCGTAGGTCAATAACAGTCTAAATATGGACTCGATGACAAGTTGTACAAATTACTTTATCAATTAAATACTCCCTATATACCTATATATATATAAACTGCTATATATATATATTATTATATACTGTATATATATATATATATATATATATATATATATATATATATATATATAGCTATATATATATATCCCACCGGTTTACCGTCCCATCAGATTATAAGAGTGAGGGAATAGAGAGTGCATCTGTGCTTGCGCATGCACTTGGGGACTATAAAAATATATAATAAAATTTTAGAATGTATCGAAAGAATAAATAGTCCAGGAGGAATCGGCGCATGAGTACCGAAAACTATTCCGTCTTAATTTTTTTGTGTGCCTCTGCTGAAATTATTCAACTGATGATATAAAATCTATATCATCAGTAGAACAATTTGAGACATGCATGCATGAGACATGCATTTAATGCATGTTGCCATAGGGCAATCAGTGCCGTATTGTTTAAACCGATTTTTTTTTCACTAGCAAAGAATTATTACTTTCAAACGGTATTTTCAATTTATTTTATGTTCTTTGATGAAAATACAAGTTCTTTGACTTTTTACGATAAAGTTAATAATTTTCGGAGTTACAAATTTTTAAAGTTTTGAATAATCCAAAATTTGGGTACTTTAGACCCGTTAAAAATGCATAAAGAAAAAAACTAAATTATAAAATACATTTCTTTATATTCTTTGATCAAATACGAATTAAAAAGGTCCTATGACTTTTTACGATAAAGTTAATACTTTCGGAGTTATAAGTTAATAAGTTAACCTTTTAAATGTTTGAAAAATCCTTGTGATATTTTTGACCCATTAAAAATATATAAAGAAAAATAATAAAATATAGGTAAAATATTTTTTTTAAAAGCGCAGGACCTACGGCTTTGCGTGCTTTTCGAGCCACAGGGGCAAAACACCAACTTACTGACTCCAAATAATTGATTTTGCCTGACCCGGGATTCGAACCTAGGATCTCATGATCAGCAACGGCGTTTATTACCACTTGTCAGCTTTTCTTCAATAAAATCACGACACCTCACTTAGTTAACTGTTTAACCAACATGTTCATTGTTTAATTTCAGTTCTAAATTGTACATAATACTTTATAACACACTATACTTTACTTTCACAAAGAAGACTATATATTAATTTAACGTTACTCACAACCCTTAGAATCACCTTATTTCACAATAGACTTGACTATTATAACCTTCTCAGCACCACTGTTCGTAATCAACTGCCGCGAGCGTCAAGTGTACGCGCTTATTGTGAATCAATTCTAGAATTAATGTAGGTAGTTTGAAATAGATTCATATTAATATTAATTGTGAAAATTGCTAAGTAATACTGCATAATGATCATTTATCTAACACACTTGACCCACGAGGCAGTCAATTTTACAAATTTTACATACATAGGTAGGTAAGGTCGCCAAGCTGGATGGCAGCAATATGTCGCGATTACAGAAAATCCTATGGCGTATATCCCAATACTTAGTAGTAAGTTTAGTGAAGTAATTTACAGACTCTGAGGCCTTTTATCTTATACGGAATATCTAGAATTTTCAGTATGGGACTGCGAACTTTTCGCAAAGGAAACTGAACATCCAAGCCATAGCCAAGCCATCTCCAAGGATATCCACAAGGATCCACAAAACACGGTCTTAAGCCATATATATTAAAATATTTCAGCGCCAAGTTTTAAATTGCAATAAATACATGTCAAAATTTTTATTAATTATGTAAATGCTTATACATAAATGTCAAATATCTAAAAAAAATCTAAAAAAATTAATATTAAATTCCAAAAAAATTAATCAGTTTTTCCATAATTGCCATTATTGTAGATTTCTTTATAAATCATATATTCGTCTAAACTATAAAAACATTTCGTTGCCAGTCATTCTGTGAGTTTCTTTTTAAAAATAATGAAAGGTAGGTTTTTAAAAATGTTAGGCAATTTATTTATTTATTTATTTAACTTCATATACACATTAGATGTATATAGGCGGACTTAATGCCTGAGGCATTATCTACCAGTCTACCTTAGAGTAGTGCAGAGATAAAAGAGGTAGGTGTAATAAGAAGTATGTACAATACATATATACATATACATATATACACATATATAAACTCATACATATATAAGCGTATAAATATATACATATGTATATAAGCATTATGTAAGTATATATACATAAAATTAAATATATATATATATATACATATATATACATACATACACACACACACACATATATATTAAATATAATATTAAATTCTGCTAACTACGAACGCTAAGTTGATTCTGCCATTTTATTGACGAGCATTTCTCGCACTTTAGACTTGAACGTAATCCGGTTTTCGGCACTCCTGATTTCGGAAGGCAGAGCGTTCCAAAGAAGAACAGATTGAACAAAGAACGATGATTGAACAAAGTTAGTACTAAAAGGGGGGGCACTGAAGCAAAAGGTTATTACTAGAACGGAGAACTCTATCATGATTATATTTATGATTATATATATGAGCTAAGATATTGAAAATGAGGAGTTAAATAAGATGGAGGATTAGGAGACATCAAGATAGAGTAAAGAGTAGTGAGTGCACGTAGACTACGGCGCTGACGAATGGGTAACCAGTTGAGTTGAGAGCGATAAGTAGACACATGATCATACTTTCGAAGATTAAAAATGAATCGAATGCAGTTATTAAGAAGACGGTCATATTTGTTCAAGAGTTCTGCATTCAGGTCAAAATAACACACATCACCATAGTCAAAAATGGGAAAAATTAAGGTCTGCACAATAATCGTCTTGGTCCTGGACGGGAGAAAGTTCTTCAGGCGGTAGAGAGAACGCAAAATACCTGTCACTTTCTGACAAACATTTGACACTTGAGTTTGCCAGCTCAAGGTGGAGTCAATGTGCAATTCAAAGTCTTTCACGGAATTACTCAGTTCTAAAATAAAACCGCTAAAAATGATCGGTGGTAAAGCTGTGGGATCCAGTTTCTTTATCATCCGTTGGCTACCTATTATTATAGCCTGACATTTGGATGGGTTAACTTTAAGACAACTTTTAGATCAACTACTTTTTTGGAGCGAATACTACAAACCAACGCACCACCTGTTATGGTTTGCCCACTTTCGTTCCGGAAATTTCGACCGGAAAAATTAGCCCAGTGGTTGTCCGAAAACTTTGGTCGACAGCGACGAATTAAAGGCGATTGTGGAAGCTGCTGACACTCAATCTACGACTGAACTAGCAGCAGCTTTCGACATTAGCATCAAAACAATATTGGTCTATTTGCCTCAAATTGGCACGGTAAAAAATTGACAAATGGGAACATATAACTGGGAACCACATGACTGGTCGTTGATGCATTTCACCGATGAATTCCCATTTTGTTTTCATCCTCATTCGAGATGAGTATGTATTTGGACAGTTCCTAGTTGTTACAAGCCAGCTTCAACTACCTCAAGATGTTCATCCATACCAAGGTGGTACAATTATGATGTGGGCAGGAATTTGTTTTGATGGAAGAATGGACCTCTTTTTGATACAGGGCACTATGATGGCTGAAAAATACCGTAATAAGATTCTAGAACCAATAGTATTGTCACATCAAACACAAATGGGTCAAAATATACTGCTTATGCACAACAATGCCCAGTAACATCTGGCCAGGCTAGTAACAGCCTGATTGCACAAACATGATGTCACGGCCCTAGAATAGTCAGTCAATTCCCAAATTTAAATCCCCTTGAGTGTGCTTGTGATATGTTCCAAAGAAGAGCTTTGAGGGTTTTCGTGCAGAACTAGTTACAGATGAACAACTTTTTATGCATCTTAGTAGGACCTGGGACAATATTCTTCAACAGGACATTGACAACCTCATTCTAAGTATGCACAAGTGATGCAGATGCATTAAGAATGTCATAGGTGCTTTTACTGATTATTAACTCTTAATTAATAGCCATATTTTATACATATTAAAACATATTTACTTTTTTAATTTAAAAATTAAAGTTTCATAATGTACTGTTTTCACACTTGCATTTTATTCTCTACATAAAAATCATTTAAAGCCAATGTTTATATAAATAAAATGGTAAATTACTAACTATTAAATAAAGTTATTTGGATATATAGGTACATATCTTAAGAAAATACTGACATACTCTTTGGAAATTATGTGTTGTCAAAATATTCATATACCATATGGATGTATTTATTTTAAATAAATATTTCAAGTTACAAAAATAAATATAATAAAAATATTTTTGATAATTTTAAACAATTGAGTAAAATATAGTATAATATCATAGATGAATGATTGGTCTCGCTGCGCTCGACTAGATACCGCCGGCGTACTTGACAAATGCGGCAACAAATACTACGCCGAAGTCGGCGTACCCGAGCCAGTCGCACTCCAAGCTGTCTGTGACGTGCACGTGTTGAATGTTTTATTAAATTTTGGGCATAATCCGAAGTAAAATGGCAGTATGCGTAGTGAAACTGTGTAAAAATGTGAATTTATTGTTTTGTATTTTAACAAATAACATATTTCATTTATCTAACCTAGTTATTGTATAGTTAACCTATAATTTATTTAAATTATTTAGGGCCGGTTGTTCAATCCTCAGATAAAAAGTCTGTCG